GGGGATCTTCTTTGCCCATACAATATGGCTTATATCGTATTGGAGAAATCTTTTAGTATTCAATTGGTCTTTTACTAGTCCCACGAACCCATGGCAGCAGATTTAGACAAAGATAAAGCAGGCTTGGGATGTCATGCACATTGAACACCAAAGAACGAAACAGAAGCTCGCAATAAACTGATGGTGACCAAATTCTAATTTTGTTAACTTGAACATGGATGGCAGTGCTAAAGAATAGTTGGGTTTAGCCACAACAGGAGACTTGATTCGTGATGATAATGGGAATCGGCTAGCTTGTTTTATATTTAAATTTGGCATATCTTTCTTTTTCACAACCAATTTATGGGTAATTTATCAAGGCTTACTATTGTGTTAGAACAAGGGATATAAAAGATTACAAGTTAAGTTAGATTTCTTACTTGCTATCTGTTGTTCAATTTTCTAGCTACGTAAGTGCACGTATCGAAAAGATAATATAAAGATGAGTAGAGTGTCGACCCCACAAAGAATTGAATTAATCTTTTATTAACTACTAAAATTAACACACCTTAATTTTATCTAAACAATTGAAAAGAAAGATTTGAAACTAGTAAACTAATAACTAGAACTAAAACTAATCTAAAATCAATTAACAAATTTATTTTATTAAATTCGAGTCACTACCAAACCTAAGATTATGATATCCTTCGATACTTCGTCTGAATATTATCTCTCTTTTAATTTAGTTTAATAGATTAAGTTGTTAACTTAAAGTCTTAAATTATTTATAAGTCTTTATCGAGTTTCTTATAAAAATATCTATCACAATTAATTTACTATATGTCTATGCAAATTATATTAAAGAAAGATTTACTCAGTTTGTGCTCTAATTTTTAACTACGTATGGCTTGTAGGTATATATTTACCCTATATGCAAATTAAACCACTTAATCAACTAAATATATTCGATCATACGCTATTTTATTCAAGATCCACCTAAATTTCCTTTGTCAAAGTTTAACCTAGGTTTCCAATTCAATATAATTGGTGATCAAGAAATTAGAAGCATTAAGAACAAAATAATGAATTCAATCAGAATCTTAGATTAAAAACTCAGTTCCCTATCAAGTTACACATAATCATCGAATAAAATTTAAACATTCAAATCAAACTAAGAAAATAAGAAAATAACAAAAAGATAGAAAAACTCAAGAATTGTATTCTTGATCTCCAAATCTCCTTGAATCCTTCAAATTCTTCTTAACTTCAACGACTCTATGGCTTAACTCTCAGCTGTCAATCTGGTGTTTCTTTGTTCTCTTATATTTTCTTTCTCTCTGAAAGGTTAATTTTATAGGTTTTAAAGTTAAGCCAAGTTGGGTGAAGAAAAAGTCAATTTCAGGTAGGATTTCCTCATCAAACTATGTGAGTCACAGTCTTATCCAATTAATTAACAGAAATCATAATGGCTCTAGGACTGCTACAGTATGTCATTTTTTATAAGATTTTTAACCACATTTCATATAGAACTAGGTAAAGTGATAAACATGAAAATTGTATATTTTTCTCTTATCTTTCCAATGGTCTAAGAATTGCTTTATATGGAGTTCTGTAGATAAAGTTATGACCAAAATACCAAAATATATGCAGTGAAAGTCTGCACCTCAAAATTGCTTTCCTTTTTTCACTAAAATTCTTCTTTCATCGAACACCTACAAATGCACAAATAAATCAATAATAATATATCTTAACTGCACTTAAGCATTTAACTTATTGGTTAGTGCATTATCTCCTTATCTAAAGAGAAAGGTTCGAATCCCTCTTCTCTCAATTATAAAAAAAAAAAATTTATCTTAACCACATTAATACCAAATTAAGCATAAAATTAACCATGATTAAATTGACTCACCTAAAATAACTAATTTAAAATAATTAAATAAAATCTACTAATTTCTATGCATTATTACAAAAACTAAATTAAATTACTATTAAAATTAAGCTCAAATAACTCTATATTATAGAGTTATCACTATCCAAAAAATTTCTCATGCAGATGTTGATCGACACTTGGATCTAAATGGCCACTTGATAAGGAAAATCAATGAGTGTTTTTGAGAGACTAGGAGTGCTCTATTTCTCACATTCACTGTGAAGCCAATTAGTGTGCCGATTAAATGGCAACATACCATGAAAACCTTAGTTTAGGTTTGCATATATTTATGTCCTATCCACTTAAGATTTCATCTTATATTCTGGTAGATGTTTTAGGACTAGCTTGGACTAGGTTCATGTAATGATTTATTTTCCCTTTATATATATAAAAAATAATGGAAAAAATCCATAAAACAAGTTCAACACATCACGAAGTGCTATCATCACCTCCCATAACCTCACATAGATCAAAAGTGTCTACTTGTAGTGGTGGAGAGACTAAAATTGCTTTTATCACTTGCATCATCTATTCCATGAAGCTCTTCACAATCTTCATGATCTCACTGTTTTCCTTTATTTGCTCACGCATCTCAAGATCATTCTCATTATTTTCATTCAATAATAATAATAAATAGTAATTAAGGGAAATATAAGTAAGGAAATCAAAATTTTTTAGTTAAGGTTAAAAATAGGATAATGCATGATTAACTAGTATTATTCTATGAACAGGCATTGTGAGGTGCTAATGCCTTCTCGCAAGTAATTGCATTCCCAAATCATAAAACAATTTCATAAATTAGAATATATGTTTTTTAATAAACTTAAGTTGAGCTTAGGATTTCATTAGAAAAAATAGATTCAAATAGATGACCAATCACATTTAGACAAAACAAATTGATAGCGAGTCTCTTTCATATCAAGTAATTGGACTTTTCAACCTACGCAGTGTACCAGTGAGTTTTAAAAACAATAAAAGTGATGTTTGAATTTAAAAAGATCGTGTAATACAAATTTAAAACTTTTCCACTAAGTAGAGACAAACTTTGATTATTTAACACAGACAAACCTTAACTAGAAGAATAAGATCATTATATCTTTTACCCTTGGAGTCGTAATCACAAAGTGTTCAAGCACAATTTCAATCCTCAACACCAAGCTCGAGTTATAGCAAACCACAAACTATCTATTTGCACAATCTCCAATGGAGATCCACACGAATGACAATTACGAATAACTTTAAAAGATATTAGGTTTGCTTACACTTGTAGAGCCAAATGCTAGCTAAAAGAGAGACTATCAGAGTTTTATTTTCACAAGGAGAAGTTGAAACACAACTAACAATAATGGGGAATATCAATTGGTAGCAATAAGATAACTTCTTTGGGTTAGATGCGATATCTCGACTTTCTTCTTCTTTGTTAATCCACTAGGTTATAATTCAACAAATGACAAAACTTCTTCGTGAGATGGAGAATGATGAGTCACCACTCAAAGGAAGAAATAAATGTTATTTTTCTCTTTTTTAAAAATAGCTACCTACCTTAGCTGGTCGATAAGGCGTTGTATGGGACATAACCAGTCGATGGATCATGATCTTTCATACTATATTTTTCCTCTTTGGTAAAAAAGGTAAGTTGAACGCAAAGGAAGAAATAAAGGTTAGGCAACAAAGTATGGGAAGTCAACCTCAAATGGAAAAAAGGAAGTCGATTCAACTGAGTCAATGCTTTCTTGTTGATTTCCTCACAAGCGTTAGACATCACTTTTGGTTCACATAATAGAATAAATCAAGAATAAAATAGTTATTTAATGAAAATAAAATAAAATAATAATAGTTATTATATAGTTTAATTCATGTAATGAAATTGTTATTCAAACATATTTTAATTTTTGATTAGTAAAAATAACTTTGGGATAACAAATGAATAAGTATTAAAAAAAGCAAAATACCCTTTATTGTAATTTGTGGTTTTAATATGAAATATTAATTTTTTGATTATTTATTTAAAAATATTGATATTTTTTTTATATTATCTTTTCTTTATTTTTATTTTTAAAATATCAAAATATTAAAAATTTATAATTTATTTAAAGTATTAATAATTTGTAATGAAAATATTACTAATTTTTAATAATAATTTAATAATAATTTATGGTTAATTTTTTAATAATTTATTTCTATAATTTTTAATATAATTGAAATATTAATTTGTTTTCATAATTTATATAAAGTATTAATAATTTATATTAAAATATTAAAAATTTATTATAAATTTTTAATAATTTATTAATAATTTAAAATAAAAACATTGATAATTTGTTAACATTTTTAGTATTTTATAGTAATTTATTAATAATTTAATTATAAATTTTAATAAATTTTAATAATTTATAATTAAAATATTAATAATATTGATAATTTATAATTTTTCATTATTTAAAATAGTTATTTTACAAAATGGTTAGGAAAATTTTTGTTCAAAAATGTTTTAACCTACTTTTACATGTATAAAATAACTAAAGTTGTTTTTATAACCAGTACATGTATTTTTATATTTCAACTTATGAGATCGATTATGCACTTTGTAAGTGAAAAATATAACCATGTGCTGGTCTCTATACTTATCTATATTCATTTTTTATAATAAAATATTAATTAGAAACAATTTAAGAATAACGTTTTAATACAATAAAAATGATATAATAATAAATTTTTATAATTTCTTTTACAAAGCATATGATATTTCATAAACTTATTTATTTCATGTAACCAGCATTCACAAGTGGTACGAAAATAAAAGAATATTTTTTATTAAGTGTAAATGCTTAAAATGCAAAATCTATCTCAATTGGTTTGTAGAAAGAAGTGGTCTTAAATGAAGAGGTAGAAATTGGAGAAAAAGAAGGGGAAGAAAGGTAGAAAAGGAAGAACAAAAAAAGGAAAAAATTGAAAGAATTGACAATGAAAATAATAATTTTAAATGTGATGTCATATTTATTATTTAAATAAATAAAATAGTTTCAAGATTTAGGGCATGTTTAAAAGGGCAAGGGAGTGGGAACCGGGAAGGCATATTCGTTTGCTAGGGCATAAAGAGCAAAAACTCTTTAAAAGAAACCGCCTCTGCTTGCAAGAGGTTCACTCCCTTTCTTTCTTCTTCTTCTGGTTTCTCTTTGCTCTCTGCATCTGTTTTTCGTGATTAACTAAATAAAAAGAGGAAAAGAAAAAGAGAAACAAAGACGGCGAAAGATGGGAAAGAAGAAAAGCGTCGCTGAAGCCAGGAGGATCCAATTGGCCCAAACACTTGAGAAGTTTCGCGAATCAAAAGATGAAGGTTTTGTTTGGACTCTCTCTCATATTACGATTTTTGGAGATAAAGTGCATTAGAAAGACTGAGACTCTATAGCTTTTTTTTTTTTTGTTTTGTATTGAGTGTCTTAAGGCTATGGTTTTTGAATTCTTTTTGGTTATTTTTAAGGTATAAGATCGATTAATAATATCTTTGGAATGCGTTCTTCAAAATTACTACACTTTGTTAGCTGCTTATGAAATGAATGTATGCCAGTATTTGTGGCAATTGAAGAGATGGAAGATTTTTAGGGTTTGGAAATGTTGGAAATTAATGCTAGTGACCTAAATTTTGGTGTCTGAATGCCAAGAATTGAAGAAACTTATGTCTTGTTTGCTTGTAAGGATCTTTATATTGAACCCAATGGTTTGCCTTTTTTTAATGATTATTTAGGTGATTAGTACTCCTAAATGTTGAATGGATAGAAAGATATTGGAGAATGCTATTTGCTTCTTATGTATTAAACGTTCCTTGTAAAGTTGCATAGCTTGTAGTATCTTTTTGGGGTTAATATTTTTCATTAATTTAGCAATTTTTGGATGCTTTTATGTAGTGTATACCTTTGATTCCACCCTTTCAAACAAAGAACGGGCACTTGTGCACAGAGCATGCAAGAAAATGGGTATGAAATCCAAAAGTTCTGGGTAAGTGTTCATTGCTAGTTTCATCTATGACTAATTTTGCTAACATTACAGTTAACAATGTTACTAGTTTTATCTATTCCTGCTTTGTGTGGAATGAAACCTTGCTGCTTTTTGGTCTTGAATGTGGTTTAGTAATTTAATTTTCCAATATGGGTTTGTAAGAGTCTGAATATTTTTTTTTTCAGGCGTGGGAGCCAGAGACGTATATCTATCTACAAAATTAGAGGGAAAGTTGACAATATGAAAGGGAGGGAGAGTCTCACGAATATGACATTTTCAGAGGGGGCACAAGTGGTTTTGCAGGACTTATTTACACATCATCCACCTGAGGATGGAGAGCTTGGAGAGAAATTAGTTGAAAAATATAGTGGAAAAACTGCTAAAGTACGAAAGAAGAAAGATGATATTTTCTCCAAGCCATTGATGAGTGACACAGAGATTGCAGAGAAGGTTAAAACGCTTGCATCTAGGATAGAGAAGGATCCTAATTTGAGACAGGTTCTTCCTTACAAGCTGACTCAGAAAATTTGGCTGTGTGCTGTTTACTTTTTACTGGGAAGATTTTGTAGTTTCTGTAAATTACTTGGTGACTTGTGAGTAAAAGTTTTCTGGCATCATGCATGCAGATTAATGAAGAGAGGTCGAAGCTTCCAATTGCTTCATTTAGGGATGTGATTACGTCCACAGTTGAATCTCACCAGGTCACTTTTTTTCCTTTTATGTATTTGTTTTTAAGATATATCTCCTTGGTACGCAGATTTCAGAATGTAGTAGTAGTACAAAGTTTTTCCTTTTAGTATTTCTCCGATTAATTTCTACTTTGTCTCAATGCATGTGAATTGTTATTTTCCCAATAAGAAATCATATTTTCCAACTAGAGCTGGATGATTGGAATGTCATATTGTTATACTTATAGTTTCTTCTAAATTCCAATGTAGGTTGTCCTCATTTCTGGTGAGACTGGATGTGGAAAGACCACACAGGTAACCAATTCTTTGCTCTGTCTTCTTTATGGTACATATAATATAATGTGTTCAATTATCTGTTTTAAAATACTCCTTTCTGTCTTTTGTTCTTTTTGATCAGTCTGCACAGACAGAATAGCAATGTATTCCACATGATGAATAATGAAATATTTAATTCTACTTAAATCCTATTGAATCTTCTATATTTAACTAGTTGTAAAATTGGAATGATGAGGTTTTAATAGAGTTCTAGACACAGCTGAAACTATCCTTTTTCAAAACTTTCTAATCTTCTATGCTACAATAGTTGGGTTGTTATTGCTGCAAACTGAAGTGGATGTTTTTCTTTGTTGCCTAACTTCAGAGGTTGCTTTAAGAAATGATATAATACAATTGATGAACCTGAAATTCTTGCTGGTTATAAGTGGGAAAGGCATTTAGACTTAGCTTGATATTTCATATGGAGTTAAGACACTTCATTGCGAAATTATATTTTGAAGTACTAGGTTGAACAGATTACCAGAATGCAGAAAAAAGAAAAAAGAAATAGAGTGAACATATTTCTGTGAACAGCTTATTTTAACTTACTATCTAGGTTGTGGATGCTAATTTAATACATTTTGTGTTATGTTACTTCTAGGATTATTGGTAAAAAGTTGGGAGCAGGGATTAGTGAAGGCTTTTCTTTATTTGTCTACCATTGTTCACATGGTAATGCTTATAATGATGCCTTGTTTTAGAGTTGAGTGTCAAACTCTAAGCTTTTTGTCTATGCCTTGTTTGGGAGTTGAGCATCAAACTCTAAGCATTTTCTCTATGAGGACAATCAATCAAATGACAATAGAGTTCATGAATATCAATATGAATGAAATTTTGCTTAAAGATAATAGACTAAAGCTTACTATATAAGTCTAAAAGAAAGCATATACAATATTTTAAAAAACTTATTTATATATTATAAATCTATACAATTAAATAAAGCCAGAAGTAAGGTATGATGCTTATTCTCTTAAAGAAAATAACATCAATAACCAGTTCCTTTTATAGAAGTACTAACTACCTCAAAGTTAAATATTATATGATTCAAATTATACTGTGGTACTATGCCATCCTATCTGCCTTTCTTCTCTTTATTCTCTAATTCTCGCCCCCTTGTTTTTTTGACTGAGACATTTTGAAGTAATTGTCTCTTAAAGCTTTGAATAATAGACATACATCAATGATTCCATTCGAGGGATCTGTCACTTGTAGCAAGTTGGTATCCTCACATTGAAAATAGGTCCTTTTTGCACTTTTATTTGTGATAATTTAAGTATATAAGAATTTCAAAGCATCAGTTGACTATCTTTCACCTTTTTTTTTTGTGTGGTTCTATATTACTTTTTTGGATTCATCTGGTGAGAATTAAGACAGTATGGTGGAGGTTTTTTGTTTCCTGGGGCGCACAGGAGTTATTTTAACTTATTGGCTTTTGGGCATCTCATGTTGACTATTATTTATAACCGTTGTTCTTTTTTTTTTTTTTTGGTTTTACTTTTTCCTTTATCTGGCCATTCATCACCCTCCTTTTCGTTTTATTTAGGAATCTATTCTTTATCCTAAATAGAGGAAAGGAAAGAGGAATGTGACTTCATATTTAGTAGAACTTTTCACTTTGTCTACAAATTAAATCTTAAGAAGCTTCCAAAAAACTGGATCACTTATGGGATCTAATATTTGGCTGGTCCAATGATCAGTTCAGTTTACCAAATTTATTGTCAGATCTGTCATTACTTGATCATTATAGCATACATTACTTAAAATATGGGCATATTACTACTCACAAATTGAAAAGGTAATTAGTAATTTTCACCGTCTTTGTTCCTGTCCCATGTTTGGTTAATCACTCTGCAACAGCGCCCAATTCTGTTGTAACTTGCACCTGTGGTTAACCAATTACTATGCTTTACTAATTTCATATGTTATGACTGCTTTTGACAGCTGCAATTCTCCTTCAACTATATTAGCAGCATATAAGCGAGTGAAATGAGTCCTATTTAACGGTTTTTATTGATAGCCAACATGATGAAACTCTCAACCATGGATTTTAAGCAAAGATAAATCTGTGTTTTAAAAAAAGATCAGAAGTTAGATTTTTAGGTGTGGGTAGAGTACCAGAGCTTCTCCATTTTCATCACTGGAAGGGTTCCCTAGCTTGGTAATAAGAGCAGTAAAGTAGGAACAAAGCAGGCACTAGAAGCTAAACATACGGCCCAAAATTACATTATTCGTTTTTATTGCTTAAAATTTACTTGCTTTACAACTATAGAAATAAAAACTAATTATTTTAGTTTCTCTTGGATGGTATTCTAGTGGGACAGGCTTTATTGAAAGCACATTTGAGTAGCTCAGCGAAAAGCATCAGAACTAGTAGGAAGGACTTCTGGCCTTGGGTGGGCCTTTGGATCCTGCACCAAAATGCTACATTAGTATTGGGAATAAGAAGCTGTGTGAGAATGCCATTTTTTCTACCTGTGACTGTGAGGTAAACTAATAAAGGATTTAGAGTGATAGAAATTTGGAAGCCAAAGTGTGTGATCTTTTCAGCAAGCTAACCTTTTCTCAGCTTGGATAATGTTGGTTTTCCTGCTGAGGTTTCTCAGATGGTGCTTAGACCTGTGACTTGCATGTGAAGTTTTTCTTACTGGCCTATTCTTTGATTTTCTGTATCAGCTTGCAAACTCATAGCATTAGTCATACTCTTGCAAAGCTTGATTTCTATCGTGAAATTAGAGTAGGTCACAAACGTCTCAGTTGCTACTTTTGAGTTTTTGAGATTTTGTCTGATATGAGGAAAGGAGTCGTAGGATGTTTATGCTAAACTACTACACTGCTTTCGAAGGAGTAGCATAGTATTAAATCATGAACTTTTTGGAATATTAGGATTGTAATTCTGGGTTTTCACAATGAGCGTCCACTACCTATGTTGCTCGAACTTGTCAAAAATTGAGAAGTATTGGTGTTGACATCACAATTCTGGACATGATCCGGGATTTGTGTCTGACACAGCAAAAAACTTTCAGACTTGTCTTCATCGCATGACCAGAACCCACTGCCAGCAAGAGATCTCTAGATTGGTGCTACCATCTCAGGTAAGGAGAGAAAGGTGAGAAAATATCGGGAAGATTATGGAGAGAGAAAACGAATCAATGAGTAAAGAACAAGAAAAGAGAAAGTGAAACAGAGAGGAAATAAAGAAGGATGAATGTGGCTGATCAATGGCCTCGTCTTTGCTGCATAGATGTAGAAGGAAAGACCCATTTTGCTGTGTTATGAGGGAAGAGGAGAACAGAAATTAGATGACTTTATATTAACGATATGCACAACCATGGAATTTTGGACTTCCCCTACAAATTAAGCTGATTTTAAGCATACGCATGAAAACAGATCAATATTTACCATCACTTACAATCATCATGTTAATTGAAATCAACTCTTACAATCAAACAAATAATTCATTTAACAAAATGTGTATATTATACTTAAGAATAATTGAGTCCCTGCAACTGTATCCTTCATTTGGATTGTTTTATGTTGTATCCTTGTGTTTTATGTTGTATCCTTGTGTCTTATGTTCGAGGCCATTGATGAGCCAGACGTCTAGACAAATACCTGCACCTGACACCTGAACTAAGTCTGAGCAACTTAGTCCACTTATCCATCAAGTACATAATGTCAGATTCTTTTGTTTTTGGGTTTGACTTATATTTTCAGTACCTGTGGTCCAGGTCCCGCAATATCTATTGGACTATATGTGGGGAAAAGGCGAGGCTTGTAAAGTAGTGTGTACTCAGCCTCGGCGTATATCAGCTACATCAGGTGCAGATATCTTTGACCTGTAATTTCCTTGTTTTACCTTTTTTCCTGATTTATTTTGCTTCCTTTAATCTTCTGCTTTTATGGTGTGCAAGCTTTTATATTTTTGATGTTTTCTTTATCTAGTGTCTGAGAGAATCTCTAATGAAAGAGGAGAAAATGTTGGGAATGATGTTGGATACAAGGTACTGTTACTAAACCTTTTTGAATATGCAAGCATAATGTAAATCATACTTGTTAAAATTATGGCAGAAATTACTGCTTGCTTCTCTCTGCCTTTTAACTACATGAAAATGGTAAAATCAGAGGTGCAAAGGTACTCTTAGCAGAAAGGATTGAACCATTTGTTCAAACTTTGGAGTTGTTCTTTAAGAACTTAAGGAATTGGAACCAAATTAAATGTTAGTGATTTATAATATATTATTCTCTTGTTCTGGCTCCTTGCTTTTATCCTGTTTTTGAATTTATCCATCAGTTATTGTTTGCTGTAGTTTTGTCAAATATCTTGGACAATCACTTGGTTAGGTGGAAATGCTGCATTTAGCTAATCTGACAATGAGTCATAGATTTTTCTTGGCTTTGTATGGTACAAAATTTAAATTTTATAACACGTTGCTAATTGTTATGAGTTTTTATGAAGATTCGCTTGGAAAGTAAAGGTGGTCGGCACTCATCGATTGTCTTCTGCACGAATGGGGTATTATTGAGGGTGCTGGTTTCGAGCAGTAGGTCGAAGAGAGAAGACATTTCTGACATGACTCACATTATTATGGTATTTAACTTGTTCTTGTTTTGCTTGTAAATTTTCTCAGATCTGATTATTTCAGTTGATTACAAAGACTTGCTAACTAACTGGCCTTTTTGAAGTTGGAAAATATTAGCAAAATTGTGGGGGAATCTTTTTATATGATCTGGGCAGAAAACTATATTTCAAAATAAACTCAGGAGTCTTGGTAACCTATTCTTTACATGCTCTGGGTAATTTAAGTTAAATTTTAGCAAAATTGTGGGGGATTCTTTTAATGTGAACGGGGCTGAAAAATATATTTGAACATAAACTCAGGAGTCTTTGGTAACCTATTCTTTACATGCTCGGGTTTATTACCTCTTGTCAAATTAGTATTAACAGTTTTAAAGTTGTATTGCCAGCGTCCTTCACTAGAGACAGACTTATATTAGGATAGGGACATAGGATAGTGGGGCCAACTGCCCCTGCTAAATTCCTGGAAAAGTCTTGGGTTTATTTATAAAAATGCCAGTAGTTTCACTAAATCTGACTTTTGTTTCCCACTCTATTTGAGAAGGAAATCTATTGTGTGCCTTGTGGAGTATTTAACAGTACTATGGTTCGTCAATAAAAAGCTAAGGGTTATTGTGTAAAAGGCTATGTTGAAAATGAATGGAATGGGCTCTTAGTGGTTTGTCCATTTGAAGTGTGTGGTTCAATTGCATGTGCATGGGAATCTGAAGAAAGACAAGAAAAAGGGAGGCAGGTTTCAAATTTAAGTCTTTCTGTGGACAAAAATTCCCTTCTATTAATACTACAAGAAGTATGTATAGTTCTAGAAAACTGAAATTAAACATTCTTTAAGAAGTCTACCTAGTTCCTCCACTCAACAAAGTTTTGATCCAATGCTAAGCACTACTGTCCTTTCCTGTTGAAATTTTCTGGGCCTGCACTAGCTTCTCTCAGCTGTTGCCTTTAGTCCAATGCAGAGGCATAGTGTCGTTTCTCATTTTGTTCTCTCCCTGATGTTAAATTTAGAGATAAAACCTTATTTTGTGTCTTTGCTGGCTTGTGTACTCTTTCTTTACACCTTTTATCTACTCTTTTGAATTTTATAGCACCATATTGGTTGTTCTTGCTATTTTTCCTTTTCTTTTGGGTCTCAACTCTCAACCTTATATTTTTATCTCCCCTAGGGGGTGCCCAAAAGAAAAAGAAAAGATTAGTGTTTGTCCTGGAGCTGGAGGACTGGAAAATGTTCTCTATTTCCTCAACTGTCAAGCTAGGATGAATGATAGGAAAACTGATTACTATGTCAACAATACCAAAAAATTTTAACATTAGGGGGATAATATAGTGGCCCTTCCATGCAAGAAAGATGTATTAGACTTGGCAATTAGTTCCTTTTTCTAGGATTGGTTCATTCCAAAAATTTCAGAAAATGTTTATCTGGTGTAGATGGGGTAATGGGGATCTCAACTAACTCAGTCTAGTGCTTGTCTTTCCTTTGAAACAAAAGTGTTTTTGATCATCTTTATTTTATTGTCAAAGCCATATATTTTTCTTTATGGTTCTCATATGTGCATGCACCTTTTTGTTTGGGTTATGATGGCTTGCAATTGTAGTTACTAATTTTCTGAATTTTCTAGGATGAAATTCATGAAAGGGACCGCTTCTGTGATTTCATGCTGGCAATTATCAGGTACTTGTTCTGTGATTTAAAATTTCACTTTCTTTGCTTGCTTTAACTAGCATCAAGCTTTTTGTAATATGCGTCTTTAGTTAAGGTTGAAATTGTTAAGGATCCATGATTCGAGCAGTGTTTTTTTTTTTTTTCTTAAGTAATTAGGTATGATAAATATGGCATGTAGACCAGGCAATACTTTCTTCGTGTCTTAATCGTGTCGATATGATTGAGACACGAAACACGATAAGGCTAAACAGGAGCATGATACAAATGATTATTTGTGTTAGCATCTGAAACATATAGAAGGATATGTTTAATAATTCTGTAACATGATATGACTGACACGTTTATTAAATGTGTCAAGTTTTTTATACAACACGACATGATTAATAAACACGATTAAACAATTAACAATTTATCCTAACACGACTAACACGCTTAACATGATTAACTTAAAGTGTTTACAATTAAATATAATTTTCTTATTCAAATTTGGAATCAATAATTATAAAAACAATTATAACAAAATAATGATAACATCAAATATAATAAAATTTAATATAAATAACATACATAAAATTCATTATCATACTAATAACATCCATCTTTGACATTAAAATTGTCACTTATACATGTTTAAACATAATAACACGATTAATATAATTAATTAAATGTGTTAACCATGTCTTAACATGGTTAAGACACGAAGCACAATAAGGCTAAACTTAAACCTGTTTAACTCCGTATTTTCTCGTGTCATGTTATCATGTCGTGTCCAAAATTGTCAAGCCTAATGGCATGGCAGTTGTATCCATTCTCTCGCTGGGCCTCACCACTAGTCTCTTAGCTTCTTGTATCTAGCCACAACAGCTATGAAAAATGTAGGTGCAACCTTAGCAATATATCTTATGATCTTGTCAATTAATTTTTCCCTAGACAAGTGCTACTGGTTAATTGTATTGGCATGTTGTTTTGAAAGACGGCAGATACTAGTGTAATTGCATGTTTGACATTTTAATGTTTCTTTATGTCAATATGCAGGGACATACTTCCTTCATATCCTCACCTACGGCTGGTTAGTTCTAGCCCTCATATGTTATATTTTATCTTTTTGGAGGATGATTGCTCCAATTTTCTAGTTAATAAATATTCATGGTCATCATTGAAAATTTTGATTGCAAATTAATTGCTTTTTCCTTTTTGTTTTATAATCCAATAGGTATTAATGAGTGCTACTCTTGATGCTGAGCGCTTTTCGCAGTATTTTGGTGGTTGCCCAATTATCCGTGTCCCTGGGTTTACATATCCTGTAAAATTCTATTACCAATTGTCTGCCATTTTATTTAGTTTGGATCACATCATAATTTTCTGGCTATTCTTAATGCAGGTAAAAGCTTTCTATTTGGAGGATGTGCTTTCCATTTTGAAATCTGCAGACAATAATCATCTTATTTCAGCAAGTGCAAGTGTCCCAAATGAAGACCCAGAATTAACAGAAGAAGATAAGATTGCATTAGATGAAGCTATTAATTTGGCTTGTTCAACTGATGAGTTTGATCCCCTTCTCGAGTTGGTTTCTGTTGAAGGAGGGTCACAGGTTCATAATTATCAGCATTCTTTGACTGGACTAACACCTTTAATGGTGTTTGCTGGAAAGGGTAGGGTGGCGGATGTTTGCATGCTCCTCTCATTTGGTGTGAACTGCCATCTAAGGTCCAAGGATGGGAAAAGAGCTTTGGAGTGGGCGGAGCAGGAAAACCAGCAGGAAGCTACTGAAATAATAAAAAAACATATGCAAAGTCTCCTTTCCAATTCTGGGGAACAACAACAGTTACTGGATAAGTATATAGAGGCTGTTGATCCAGAAATTATTGATGTTGTTCTTATTGAGCAGTTATTAAGGAAGATATGCATCGATTCAAACGAAGGAGCTATCCTTGTTTTCCTTCCTGGGTGGGAGGATATAAATAGGACCCGAGAGAAATTACTTGCCAACCCCTTTTTCAAAGATTCTTCCAGATTTATTATAATATCTCTGCACTCAATGGTTCCATCTGCAGAGCAAAAGAAGGTTTTTAAACGTCCACCTTTTGGTTGCCGCAAAATTATCCTTTCAACCAATATTGCTGAAAGTTCCATCACGATCGATGACGTTGTCTATGTTATAGATAGTGGTCGAATGAAAGAGAAAAGCTATGATCCTTATAATAATGTATCAACTCTTCAGTCTTCTTGGGTCTCCAAAGCAAATGCCAAGCAGCGAGAGGGGCGTGCAGGCCGATGTCAGCCTGGAACTTGTTATCATCTTTATTCAAAGCTTCGATCAGCTTCTATGCCAGACTTTCAAGTTCCAGAAATTAAGAGAATGCCAATTGAGGAGCTTTGTTTACAGGTAATCTGTTTTGCTTTTTCACTTATTTTGAACAAAAAAGAAAGAGGGTGTGGGAAAGGAAGGTAAGTAGGTTTAGGGTAAATGTAACAGTTTGTTGCATGATTTTGTTCCCATTGGCAGGTGAAGTTGCTTGACCCAAATTGCAAAGTAGAGAATTTCTTGCAAAAGACATTGGATCCTCCTGTTTCTGAAGCTATACGTAATGCAGTTAGTGTTCTTCAAGATATTGGGGCTTTCTCACATGATGAGGAGCTGACTGAACTTGGAGAGAAGCTTGGTTATCTTCCTGTTCATCCATTGACAAGCAAGATGCTTTTCTTTGCCATATTAATGAACTGCCTTGATCCGGCTTTAACCCTAGCATGTACCTCGGAATTCAGGGATCCATTTGTACTTCCCATGTTTCCTAACGATAAGAAGAAGGCTGCCGCTGCTAGGGAAGAGCTTGCATCATTGTATGGTGGGCAAAGTGATCAGCTGGCAGTCATAGCTGCTTTTGAGTGCTGGAAGCATGCCAAAGAAAGGGGTCAAGAAGGACGTTTTTGTTCGAAATACTTCATCTCATCAAGCACCATGAATATGCTGTTTGGCATGCGGAAGCAGCTTCAGGCTGAACTGATGCGGTTTGGGTTTATTCCAGATGATGTCTCAAGTTGTAGTCTGAATGCACATGATCCTGGGATACTTCATGCAGTCCTTGTGGCTGGTTTTTATCCAATGGTGGGGAGGTTGCTCCCTTTAAGACAGGGTAAACGATTTGTTGTAGAGACTGCTGGTGGCAGTAAAGTTCGGTTACACACTCACTCAATTAATTCTAAGTTATCACTTAAGCAATCCAATGATTGCCCTTTGATAATGTATGATGAAATAACCCGTGGAGATGGGGGTATGCATATAAGGAACTGTACAGTCATTGGGCCACTTCCATTGTTACTGCTTGCAACAGAGATCGCAGTGGCTCCTGCAAAAGGGAATGATGACAACGAAGATGATGATGATGATGATGATGGTGACGACGACGATGGAAGTGATGATGCTGATGAATGTGACACTGATGGAGATGAAATTTTGATGGTTAGTAAGTCAGGTGGAAATGAAAAGGTCATGTCCTCTCCTGATAATTCTGTTATGGTGGTTGTTGATCGGTGGCTTTCATTCAGATCAACAGCGCTTGATGTTGCTCAAATCTACTGCTTGAGAGAGCGATTATCTGCAGCAATCTTATCCAAAGTAGGTATTTCCGGTGTTTTATGCACATAATATCTAAAATGCACCTTGCTCACCTTCCCTTTCTTGTGATTAATATTAAAACACATATTTACCTTGTGCAGCCTTGTAATGTTTTATTTCTACCTGTTCTTAAATTTTTATTGACTTTTTCCAGGTTTTGCATCCACGCCAAGTTCTTACTCCTGTTCTTGGGGCTTCTATATATGCAATAGCCTGCATTCTGTCTTATGATGGGCTATCAGGTATCTCAACCCGAGCAGAATCTGTGGATTCACTGACTTTGAAGGTACGTGCTACTGAGATTGACAAACCCTTAACAGGGAGGAGAGGTTCAGGTCCAAATACAAATAGGTTACCAGTTGACAGGTCATCAAGTTACTGGAAAGCTGAAGTCCATGCATATGAGGCTGTAAGAGATGGAACTGAGGCCTCAAGCTGCAACGAACAGGCACCAGTAATGTCCGTTGGGACGAGCCTACGGCAGGCTTCATCCCAAGGTCCTATTTCAGTTGCTTCTGGTTCAGGCATGTCTAAATTACAGGGTCAGGGTCCCAGGGAAGGGTCTTGCAAGCGGCGACGACGTGGGAGTGGGAAGAAGTCAAAACAGTGATGGTGGTAAAATGCTATGTTGTAAACAAGAAGGTTAATAGCGATGAAGCTGATCGTCCTAAAGGGCACACATCAGAGTAGGAGGTAGATAGTGGTGTAGGTGTGTGCAGACTATGCCCTATAGTTTTGAAGGTTGTGCATTCTGTGGAACCATCCAGTGATCTTTGCTTGAGAATCGTTTTCCGAACTACATGCTAACATATAGAGTCGATAGTTACATGGACTTAAAGTATTACTACTAACCAATGGCATCCAAATAGCCATTTTACATGTGAGACAAGTTTTCTGCATGATTAATATTTTGTTCCAATTAACTTTTCCAGCAAAATTAATTGGAAAGTTCACCATTAATCATTCTTTTATGCATTATTCATACGGCTTCAGATTAAAAAGGGTTTTGGTACCCATCTTCTGGACCTTCTCTTATGCTTGTTTTCCCAGTCTCCTGTTGCTTGAGCAGCCACATGCATCAATTCAATCATTATCCTTTTTAGTCTCCAATCTTCCTTGACTAAACTGATGTCCACCACAAATCCTATTTTGTTGTACCATTGCGTGCAGGTTATTTATTCTAATGATACACACACACACACACATGTTTTATACAACGGTGGTTGAAAATTTTGGGGGTTGGGGGTGACCTTGGATTTTGGATTTGTTCATTTGGAGCCCTTGAGGATTAAATAACTTTCACATACATACAAATACTAGTGTTTTGGATATTAACTATGAACCACTACTTTAGGAGTTTGCTATTTTTCATATTTATGATTGGTTATCAATTCTTTGTATTTGTTCTACACTGAAGCCTTATCTTCGAGATTATATTTGTTCGACATTATTATCCCGTGCACAGAGAAGATGGCCAAAGAATTACGAGAGGAAAGGAAGCCATTGATAATAGCAATGAAAGGTCATCCTGGCACTGGGAAATCCACTTTAGCCCACGCCTTAGCCTCAACCCTCCATATCCCTCTCATCGACAAAGACGACATCCGCGACTCCACTTTTCATCTCCAGCAACAATCTTCTTCCCTCCTCAACGACCTCTCCTATGAAGCTATCTGGCGAGTTGCCTCCACCCAGCTCCGCCTCGGCCTCAGCCTCATCGTCGACTCTCCTCTCTCTCGTAGAACCCATCTCGACCGTTTGTTGAGCTTGGCAGCCTCGGCTGGAGCCCGCCTCGTGATATTGGAGTGTAAGCCGTTGGACGAGGCCAAGTGGCGGGAGAGGCTGGAAGGGAGGGACAAGAATTGGCACAAGCCACCCAGTTGGGAGGAGCTTGAGAAGTTGGTGCAAGGGTATAGCGGATGCACGGAGTATGATGTTGGGGATGTGCCCAAGATGGTGTTTGACACGACGGCGCCCAATGTTGTGGTGGAGGAGTTGGTTCAAAGTGCCGTGGACTTCATTGCTTCTTGTTGTGGCAGCTTCCCAACATGTATCCCACGTAGTTCTTAAAACTAGTAATTACCTTTTTTTTTTTGTTTTGTACACAAGAGCATGGAAAAGGCCAAATATTTAGACTGTGATATTACCAAGAAAATGTTGCGCCTTTTTTTTTTAAAATTTTTTTAAATTTATAAATGGAATGTCTATATTTTAAGTAGCACAAATTTTATATATGAGGTAATTTATTAATAAAGTAATTATTTTTACGTATATAAATATTTATTTATTTATTTATAATTGTAATTATATATAAACACAAATAATTTTTAAATATAAAATCAAAGTACAAATAATTCAAATTTTGTAATATAAATTTATAAATTAGCCTATACAATTAGAATTAAGAAAAATATTTTTAATAAAAGTAACTAATGTAGTTAAAATTTTTATTTACAAATTGGATAAATCTAATTATTACTTATAATAAGAAAACCTTAAAATGGCAATTTTGAAATAAGAGACTTGATTCCTTCTACAAAGAACGGAGGGGCAAGGGATAGCTTACGGAGAGAAGTGGTCATGAATAAGAACGACAGCCCTGAGTGAAAACAGGAATGCTGGACATGGGACATTGGATTGAGAAGAAGTCTTCTTGATTAGAAAAATGACCAATGGGAATAGATGAGCATGATTTTAAAGGAATTTCAGTTGCTTCATGCAGCAGTCAAAGAGGAGCTTACCAAAAGAGGCGTTCTTCCGAATAACCTTTTGGTTTGTAATGTGGAAAAAGAGGCTTGTAGTCATTTATTTGTTGAATGTGGTGAAGCTTGGAAAGTTTGAATGGGCTAATGTCATGAATGGATCTATCCGAATAAATTGAAAACTTTTTTTGAGGCTTGCAATGAATGTACGTTTGGGTCGGGTGTTTGTAGAATTTGAAAAATGGCTTTTTATGCAATTATTTGGTCTATTTGGACATGCTTTGCACAGATCTTTACATTTGCAAGTGAATGACCAACTGTACATTGATAGTCACAATATCTTGTATTGTGTTAGTGTAATAAGTTCAATGTGATTAATTCAAAGAAAGGGTGAATTGGTTTATTTTTGTAATTTTGAAATTTTGATGATCTTTTTTTTTTAATTTTGAGAAAATGGAATTCCCTTGATTCACATCACTAATTTGAAAATAAGCAAGACAATTGATTTTCTATAAATTGAGAAAGACTGAAAACACAAATAAAATTAAAGAATAAGAAGGGAAGGTAAACCAACACAATAATTTTATAAAGATTCAATCTCCTTACCTACGTCCTCTCCCTTAGAGTCATTAAGGAATTTAAGATCCACTGTTGAAATAGAGTTTAATACAATGTCTTTTATGGATTAAGCATGACTTTTTAATATAATGTCTTTTATGGTCAAAGCACAACCACTTCACCTTTTATTTTGATTAAGGTATAACTATTCAATTTTTACTTTTTTAATTTGTTAAGGTATAACTACTCAAGTTAATAAAACAAGAAATGAAAGTGTGGTTGGGATGTCTTTCAAAAGCTAAATAGCAAATTGAGTACAATGTTTGATGAGAAAGGAAATAAGTAATAAAGGCACTTCAGATGATACAATTGAAAACTTAAATGTAAGAAGAAGAATAAAAAGAGTGTTTAATGATTTGAGCTAAAATCTTCTCTTGGAGTTGTGTTTCAAAGTCTTTCAACTTCCATAAATGTTGTAAAAACTTGTATTTATAGTTACTGAAGCTTTAAAGGTAGTTGAGGATTCATTAAATGTAAAAATAATCGTTCTTCTCTTCATTCAAGACTCTAACGGTCTTGTTGTATCGATACATTGCTTCTTTTATTTTTGAATTCCTACTATAATGTATCGATGCTTTTTTCTATGTATTGATACTTTTGAACTTCCTTACAAGGGTTTGGCCATTTTGTTGAAGTGCATCGTTACAGTTGCTAATGTACTAATATTTTTAAGGTAGCAAGCATTCTATTTAAGATATATCGATATATTTGACTCATGATGTTTTTATTATATAAAATGATAAGTGATATTTTAACTAATGATAATTAATTTATTATTAATAATAAGAATCTATTTAATCAAAGATAAAAATATAAAAATTTTAATTAATATAATAAAAAAGTTAAAATTTATTTAATTTTTTTTAAAAAATATAATATCTATTTTTGATTATTTTAATAACAAAATAAATGTAACGTGTTATGTCTATATTTTCGAAAAATTAGACAAGAAGTAAAGAAAGGAGTGTAGAAAACAGGGCAGTGATATTTTGATCGTGAAATAACACTTCTAGAAGCGTACGACTACCCTTTTTCTCTTTCTTATCTCAATCAAATCTTTGGTTGGGACAGAATATATCCATCTTTCCAGCCTTGGGCAAAACTTTATAACAAGTGTATGCTGCTAATTTTATTCTTTATTAATTTTAGAATTCTAAAGGCTTTAACAGTTAGATTCATTACAATCCACAAACACAACAAGCTTCTGTTGGCAAATTCTTGGGAGAAACCACCAATCTTCCCCCGAGTGTCCCTACGATCTCTCCGTTTTCTTTTGTCCAATTTTGCTTTTTGGATATTTTCAGTGTTTAGCATGGAAGACTTCTTACTTTTAAGTCAACTGTGTACGGTTTATTTAAAGCCTATGGCAGGTTTCCACAGCAGATCCATTTGCAGCTACTTGCTTGAGTGATTTTCAAGTAAAGTCATATCCTGTTTTCTACAACCAACCCTTTTGCTTGCTTTCCTTCTTGCCTTTGGTTTTTTTTCTTTCAGAATTTGGCTTGTTCAGCTTATTTTTTGAGCAGGGGTTGTTCTTAATCTTTCACACTGTTGTTTCATGGTTTTGGAGATTCTGGGGTCTTTTTATCAAATGGGTAATTCATAAAATCTTCAAAATTTTCTTTGGTTACTTGTTTCTTACCAGTTCTTAACTTCCTTTTTGGTAATATAACCTTATTAACAATAATTCTCTGTTTCAAGAAGGCTGGCTCCTCTTGTGTACTATCCACTGTCTTCATCTATCAACAGTTTCTTCTTTCTTCTCAAGTAGTATGGGGTATCTCTAATCTTCAGTTGTGTTAGAGCTTTTGATAAAGCTCCTTGAAAGTTTGATTTTCTTTGATGGTTTGAAAAGCTTGTTAACCTGAATTAGGATCCCTTAGATTCACAAACATGGAATATGGGAATGAAATTTCATCACCATTAAGCTTTGCCTCATCCTCTTACTTATCGGATGGGTCTGGTGGTCACCTTATAGAAGCTGCCACAAGTACGGAAGACCCTGGGGCCAATCTTGAAATTCTGAGCCTGAAGAGGCTCAGCTGCAGTCTTGAAAAGTTGTTGGTCGATCAGGAATATGACTACAGCGATGCTGAGATAGTCGTGGACGGCAACATCGCTGTGGGGGTGAATAGGTGCATACTGGCTGGGCGGAGCCAGTACTTCCATGAGCTTTTCAGGAAAGGGAGGGATGACAATTCCATGAGTAAGGAAGGCAAACCACAGTATCTGTTGTCACAGCTAGTGCCTCATGGTCGGGTGGGGTATGAAGCCTTCAAAGTTTTCTTGAACTATTTATATACTGGAAAGGTTAAGCCGTCACCTAGGGAAATCTCAACCTGTATGGACGATGCTTGTGCCCATGATGCCTGTGGTCCTCTGATTACTTATGCTTTGGAGTTGATGTATGCTTCTGCCACATTTCAGATGAAAGAGCTGGTTTTGCTTGTTCAGGTACGTAGCCCAAAATATGATACTTCCTTTATTTTGGGAATCTTGAGGGTAATTATGTAGAATGTTTTGGACCGCCTGATTTACTGAGTAGGTGGAATATTTATATAATGTAGATGTATTATAAATGACTACTGATGAACATTCAAGGCTTATATCTATGCAACGGAGTTCTTTGAGGAAAAATTGGTTTGAGTTCTTTTTATAAATAGATCCCATGTATAAAGTGTTTTTTAAAATAATTTTTTTTATAATTTTAATTATTTTCAATTAAGAGAAGTATAATTTGAACAAAATTGCTCTTAATAAAACCGATTCATTTTTTTGACTTTTTTTCCTTAATCCAAAACCTATTAACGGGTCAAGTATGTTTAAGTTTGCGGCTCAAATCAACTCATATTTTTTGAGTTTTACTTACTAAATTATTCATCTTTAGAGTATTTTTTACTAAAAAGAAAATGTTTAAGCATTTTGAGTATTTTGAAGTAATTTTTAATATACGAAGAAAATTTTTGAACGTTTTAAGCATTTTTAAGTATTTTGAAGTGATTTTTGATATATGAAAATTTTTTTTTGAACATTTTGAGCATTTTTTATATTTGTTAATTTTGTTGTTAAATGAAATATGGTGTATCGTTTGAAATTGTTGATCTTGTTAAATAGAATTAAGTAGTTTTAATAGTTTTTAAACATTGCGTAATCGGATTTTGGATATTGTGTGACTAGTTTTTAAATATTGTGTGATTAATTTTTAAGTATTGCGTGACTGGTTGATATGACATTGCGTGACTGGTTAGTAAGGTATTGCGTGATTTAGGCATTGTTTAAAAATCAGTCACGCAATGTCTAAAACCAATCACATAGTGTCTAAAAATCTATCACGCAATGATTAAGTCACGTAATGCCTAAAAATCAATCTCGCAATACATAAAAATTAATCTAATCAATTTCAACTCTTCAACTTTGGGGTTATGTGAATAATCCAAAAAACCCAAGAATCTAAAACACATTTTTTTTTTGAAGCCATGACATTATTTATTTTACAAAGGACAGGTTACAAAACTCCATAACGTTCCAAAGCAAGACAAAATATATCCTTATCAAGAGGGCCTTGCTTACTACCTTATGCAAGAACAAAATATGCTCTCTTTACAAAATATTCTCTGAACAATTCCAACTCAAAAACTCATAAAAAGAAATAAAATCTCCAATAAACATGCTTAACAATCATTTCAATCCCAAACATAACAAAATCGTGAACCACTATAAAACCCATCAAACATGCTTTAACTGTTCCTTCTCCTTGAGCCCATAATCTTAATAATCTGATACAACTCATCAACACAAACATCTCCATCGTAGCACACGTTTCGAAGCAAGTTGT